GTTCAAATTTGGATCCGTCATAGAAAAAAGTTCTTCAATGTGAGAAATTTACTAATTGTAAATTTTGATTTAAATCATTCTATTTCACAGAATAATCTGTTGTCAAATTATTTTTAAAAATATTAGAGGTTATTTTGTCCAAACTAATAGTCATGGAAATAAAAATGTTAGAAAGTTAATTTTCGTGTTCCGTTACATGTGTGAGCCACCATCCCTTCTTTGGAATTATTTCCTGAAGTCGGTCTGCGGGTTCTTTCGACCCTGTACGTCGGACAGTTTAATAAACGTTTTAATCGGTGAACTTGCGAAGTTCCTTTCGTATTTCTTTCAAGTTATCATAAAGTTTATAGATTTAGATTCAAGTTGTTATCGTTGAGTTCCTGTGATTGTTAATTCGTGGGTATTATTCGAGTAGTCGGGCTTTGTCGAGGCAGCAGCTTTCGATTTCTCGTTAGTAAGAGTCCTCCCTCTAATAGGTCGTCACTATGTGGCTGTACACGTATGCTTATTCGCGAGGGTGTTTCATTGGAAATTGTTGACGCCTTGAGCGATCCTCTGACTCCGCCTAAATAGTTTTAAACTAAGCTTAAAGCTTCCCTATCTGTGGTGTGGAGAGTACTGATCGGGGAAAAGGTTTCCTGTCTACGCTGCTGACAATAAATGCAGTGCCCTTCATGGTGCCGTATCTGCTTTAGACATGGTAGGATTTAGGATGGTGAGAATTGTCCTTCTAGACTATGAGACTTGTCCTCGAGGAAATATAAATACTATAAGGCCTTTCCCATAGTTCCACTTGTATATGTCTATTATTATAACTTTATACTCAATTTCGATGGTTCTTTATTTTCTCGTAGCCATTTGTTGGGCGATGTTTAACTCTCTACAAGTATGGTTTATAATTCTTTTCCCTTCATTTGGTCGCTTTATTAATTATCGGTTTGTTCCAAATGGGAGAGGAAGCTTGATTCCAAGGTTTTACCGTTTTTGGAAGAAAAGATCGGTCTTTAATGAATTTATTTCAAGTTGCTGGTCTATTTCAAATTCGGGGTGTTTCTGTATTTAAATTCGAATAAAAAATAAACTCTATTCTTAATGGGCTATAGCGCTCTTTTAGCCACAACGCCATTCTTCACTAGAATCGTTTCGGAATACTTCCTCCTCTGCAAATAAATTCATGTTCATTTTTCCGTCACCTATTACCATTTTATTTATTATTCACACATTTATTTTTAATATTGTCGTTATCGTTATTCATTGTCAAAAAAAAGATTCGATTGACTAAATTAGGCATTTTCAAATAAATTTGCGATTAACTAAAAAAGCTCCAACTTCTTCGTACTCCGCTTTCGAGATACACATATCTTGAAATGTCGATAACTAAAGAGAACGATTTAATGTGAGCATAGATTCTCAACTATATAAGACGTTGCCTGAAAGTAGAGTGTTTAAAAAATATAGATAAAAGATTCACCGCAGCAACAATCGAGCCACCGAGCCATGCTGAATTCTTTCTTTCTTCAGGTGCTAGAATCTATAAAAAGTAAAATGGCATTCAAGTTTGAACTTCACTGTACGTAATGCTAATAAACTGGTGGATAAAACTTACTTTTGATTTTGCATGTAAAGCTGATTTGAATCTGTTAGTATTTAATCACAAAAAATCGGCATTGAGTGCACAAAAATCAAGTAACAATTACTTGGAGGCATTAAAATGTCCAATTCTTTATGCAGCCTTTCAACGACACCAGGAAACAAAGTGGATCCCCTTTGGATAAGCAAAGATATGTGAAAAAAATATTTTACTATTAAGTCAAATTCACTTGAATAAAAATTTCAAATTACCCAGCGAGAACAATATTTTCCATCAACAATTTCTGAAGTTCAACATCACATAGTGAGACGGATTTAGCTATCGCTTCATGAATACCCAGATCCTCCAGACCCAATAATTTCGGTTTGAATAGAGCTTCAGGGACACGGAATCTGCAAAAAAATTGACAAATATTTATTAACCTTCTCATGTTTTTAAATGTGAATGGTTAATTTACCTTTCATTATTCACAACAATAATTTTTCCATCTGGCAATTCATGTGTCGTCTCGAAATTGTTCCATTCTTCAGGATTACCAATCGCTTTTTCATAATCTTGGGAGACAAAACACACTGCCTCTTTAGTCAATTGAAGAATTTCATGGTCGGCAGTTGTGTTGAGCGAATGACCGCGCTCTAATAATAATGTGGCCAAATAAGTGTCCAAATCGTGTCCAGTTACTTGAATCCCTTGAAACCCGTGAGAGATCGATGCTCCTTCGTAAACGGGAACAACGTGCGTTATACCATGCCCGGAATTTAAGACAGTACCAGAACGAAGACCTATTGCATATAATGCAAGAACAGCCTAATACCAAATAACACGGTTTAAATTTTTTCAAATGTATTCTTTTGCGTTTTTTTCATAATTTCAAATAAATCAAATTAACTTACTTGAATAGCGAGATAAAAAGACGGGACATTAAAAGTCTCAAACATAATCATCGCGGCACGTTCTCGTTTTTCTCTCGGATTTAGCGAAACTTCTGTTAATAACACTGAATGTTCTTCCGCGATCACTTCAAGTTTATGTGTGAATGCGTATTGCCAAATTGTTTCAATATCATCCCAATTCGTGATTATTCCATTTTGTACAGGATTTCGAATTGATAAAATTCCACGTTTGTGTTGCGCTTCTTCGCCAATGTATGTAGTTGGTTCTTCACCTGTCAAAGTATGATACTTTTCGTTGCCAAGAATCGTAGGGAAAATCTAAACATAAAAAATTATTGTATGTCAATTTTTAAATTTCAAAATACAGTACCGGTACATGCGTATGCATAATAATAAATAAATCCAATACCGATACCTTATGCGGTGAATCTTGCCCAGTGAATCCTACTTTGCATGTATCAGATCCGACATCAATAATAACCTATATTGATCAAATATTATGACATGTATAACAATCTTACGTTAACACTTTTCATAATAAAGTATACCAACAGTTGCTCCGTCATCTGCCATTTTGTAAATTTAAAAGCATCAGCAACTACCGCTACATGTACATGTAATAACGACCGCCAAAAAGAGTACAGTTTGTTTAGATTCTGTATGACAGAATTTGAGATTAGCGTGTTGCATATTCGGAATTTTCTAACTGAAGAAAAAAAGCAAACAATAGACAGCTATTTTCAGCAGAATAAAGTTAATTATCGATTTATACAGCGCATAGAACATAACGCATGTCGCTACTTTCAGTATAGAGAATATCTTTCAACCCGTATTCAGCAAAGTTTGACTAATACTCCAATGCATTTCACACAGAATTTGTTCATTGACTATTGGTACGTAATGTCAATTTCAAGTAAGTGTCACATTATACATGTAATTCCAAAACCAACAATTCTGTTTAGAATTATGAATAACAAATTAAAGTTGGAAGACCTTATTCGTGAGTTTTGTTTGTGTAAATGGACACGTTTTATCGTTGTGCATGCTATCGCTATATCCGTGCATGATGCATGTATGTACAGGACAGGATACATAAATGCATATTTTCATCGTCGCGCGCCAATCAAAAAAATAATTCAGACAAAAATTAGAACGATAATAATAAATCCCATGTACATGTATTAAAAAACGTAGGTAAGTTTTTAATTGATACATATATATTTGCAGGCTTGATTTCATCTTATTCGCGCGAAAGAATTCCTTACCCGTGCAGAATTAACAAACTATATCTACTCACCTACCTCCTACTACTACTGACTGACTGACTGCTACTAATAAATAAAAATATCTCCGATGAATCCAATCAATATTACCTACTATAATAATTCGATTCAACAAGAAACTTTTCGATATTTTCCTTTTTCCAGTATTAAAATTTTAAAAAATCTTCAACATCGTGATAGTCTTTTTTCGTATGTAGCCTATTACGAGAATGGACAACGATTGAAATGTAGAGTTTTCCTGAGTGCCATACCAGAAAAAGATGCATTGCATACAATCCTTCTGAAAAAGGTTCAAATTTTAGTCTCTTTTGTCTATATACCAAATATAAAACATTCAGTTTATTTTAATTTTGCTCTCTACAGAATTCTAGTTCACGTATTGCCTCGTTAAAGAACTTGAAACTGACAATAGAAGGAATCACATACAGCAAACACATGCATCAATACCTGATGATCTGTCGTCTCAACAAACTATACGCAAGTACATTAGAATACGCGCGAGACTGTTCTACTGATACATCTTGTGGCGGTGGAAATGATTATCTCGAAATCAATTCTATGGAAGTAATCCAAACTTATGGCGGAATGCCAAAAACTTCTCCTCTTGATCAATTATGTCCGAAGTGTGATCGCGTTCTCGAAATTATGGGATGTTGTTCGTTCTGTAATTCCTTAGACGTCGCTGGCGACGGGGATTCTTTTAGCAATGACGATAATAGTAATTGGGATTGCGGAAATGATCAATTAGATTTATTGATTCGTGATTCACAGAATAGTGCTAAGCCAGGAGAAGAATATTTACGGTGGATTACTTACAATAAATTTAGTAATCTAGAGTGTATAGGTGAAGGCGGATTTGGAACTGTATATTCGGCTGATCATAGGGATTCAAAGGGTATGTTTTGTATTTAATATTTATTTTAAAGATTAAGAATTAAAAGTTGTTTTATAATTTACAGGTATGGTAACCAAAATTGCTTTGAAATTTCTTAAAAATTCGAAAAATTTAAGCATTGACTTTTTAAATGAGGTGATTATTTGTATATTCCGATTTTTGATACCAGTAAAATTATTTATACTGATCGATTTTATACACGTAGTTTGAGGCTGCATATAGCTGTCGAAGTCGGCGAATAATGCAATGTTTAGGGATCACTCGAAACCCGAACACAGAATCATACATATTTGCATTGGACCTAGCAAACGGAGGAAATCTTCGAGATTTTTTGCACAAGCGTAAGAAACCTCTTTTGCTAGCCAGCAAACTAAAGATTTTACGTGACATTGCAATTGGGCTAGAAGTTATTCATGATGCCAATATGGTACATCGTAATTTGCATAGTGGAAATGTGTTGATAAAAATTTGTCCTAACGGTGAAATCCAAGCGTTCATTAGCGATCTCGGTCTCTCAAGACCAACAATGAGTTCCGTAAATCCCACTAATTTGGGCACTTATGGTGTATTGCCTTACGTGGCTCCGGAAATTCTTCGAGGAACTTTAAACAGATTTGGTAGCACTGCTGATGTTTACAGTTTTGGAATCATAATGACCGAGGTTATTTCGGAAATTGTGCCTTTTGACGACAGACCACATAATCAACAACTTGCATTCGATATTTGTCAAGGTCTACGTCCTGAAATTCCAACCGAGACTCCAAAATGGATATTAGCATTTTTGAAACGATGCTTGGAAGCGGATTTGGAAGAACGACCGACCGCTAGAGATATCCGTAAAATTCTGTACAACAAATGTCTAGATATAGAATTCAAACGAGCACCAAACATGCCAATTTTTTTATCGTCAAACACCAATGGTGTCTCATCACAACAACAGCATCGGCGATGTCATCCAGAAGCAATTTATAAAAGTCGGTTTCTTAGTTTCCCGAATCTGCCAGAGCCGACAAATTTTCCTTGTAATAATTATGAGCATGGCGAAGACGACGACGACGGTGTGTAATCAAACAATTCACCCATTTTCTAATTACATGTAACTTTATTCAGTGATTTCTTAATGATATTCGTACAAATACACAGTTAAAAGTAGATCGATATCGGTTGACAGTCGTAAAAGTCCCGGTATTTCTCGAGTTTTTTCATTTATTTCAAAGCTTGTCTTATAAAATGTATTGATGTATAAAACTTTAGTTATATAGCAGATCTGAAGAAACAGTGTGACAATGCTAAATTTTCTTGCTTTCTTTTTATCTATTCTAATGACTATTTTGAGCCTTTTAACTTCATAATTTTAACAAATTTCCAAGAATCACAATACAGTATTGTCGTATTTCTGAATTCGTAAAACCATTTCTTTGCATTAGAAACCCTTGAATTCAATCATTCGAGTGGGAAGTTCTATCGCTATTAATACTTTCATGTTTGCAGTGTACTTCTTGATGGTTGGTGGACGGAATTATGGTATGCAACAAAATAAATTTATTAAGAAAGGTTCCAAAAGCAGGCCAACTTCAAGACTTTGTCTGGACCATCCGCTCTACGACAAGCGGCAACCCATTAGCAGTCAAAGGAATATTGAATACTTTAAGATCTTTAGAAAAGCATTTCTACAGTAATGAACAAAAACCAGCAAATCCCATACGAAGATTTATTAGTTATACCGATACGACGTAATGATTACACTGCCTACGATAAATCACCATGCATTATTAGCAAAATTTTCGAATTTAAAATGTATCTAGTTTTTTTATTTAAACTAAATTTTATTTAACAACAATATTTAAAAGATATATGAATAGAAAGGGAAAAAGTTATCGTTATATAATAATATTCGTCTAAAAAATATTAATAATTTAATAATGCATATGTGACCCTTTAGCTTTAATAGCAGTTGCAACTTGTCGCGGCATACTGGAGATTGAATTGCGTACAACATCCAAAGGCACTTTTCACTTTTTGCCATTCTTCCTTCAATGCATCAATTAAATCCTTTTTGTAATTTGGAGTCCACATATCCTTGTACGCCCATCTGGAAAAGGGAAAACCGTGACTAACAATTCTCCATTCCGGTTTTTGCACCATTGTAAACGTTTTTTCTTGTGCTGAGTAGTTTATGACTTGCATAGTAAGATTCAAATGATAGTAATTACGAGTGGTATTAAAGTGAATTGAGTTATTAATGTATGCATTTTAGTTGATTGGTAATTTTAATGAGCATGCTTTGCGATCTTTTTTGCAATACGTTTTAAACTTCGTTGATTGCGTTCTGATAAAATTTTTGGTCATCCAGTACGTTTTAAGCATTGCTCTCCATATGATATGCACCAATTATTTGTTCACGATAATTCTTTTCGTGGTAAGGATTTATGAATAGAAAGAAGAGTGAATAGAGAGTGTTTTTATATAGAAATAAAAGATCGAAACAATGTAAAAATCAAAACAAAAACAAAGTGAAACATTCCTCGATAAAGAATAACGATACGGTACTGTATGTTATCAATAAACTTTTTAACTAGAAATTAACGGTAAATACAACTTTTTAATCCGATTTTATTGTTACCCTAGCGCCCTAGTAACAGAACAGTCTTCATTAATTTCGTCAATGATTTTTTCCCTTTTTGTCACAGACAATTAGAACTCCTTTATCGTTATAATAACGATAATGTACCCATTTCGGATATCACATGTGGTAAATGCTTTTTTCTAGCCTTAGTTCTCGGAGTTTTTTGCTTCGTTTACTTCTTAACCAACTTGTTTAGTTTGGCTGATACTAACTCCCGCGATTTAACTTACTATACGAAGTAATTTACTCCATAATTCACACTATAGTTTCTACAGTGCATGTAATTTACACTATAATTTCTGCAGTAATTTATCCTATACGTAATGTAATTTTTCTTGTTAAAAAAATCGTGTAGATCTCGCAATTTTCCCAAAATGGGATTAATACTATTTTTTAAAAATTTTCTAGGTTATTAGCTTTAAAATGGGTATAGAAACTAGGGGCTTTGAATTGATGCTGAAGGTGCTAAAATTTTTTGCGTAAAACTTTGCGTGATGCATACATAACTTTGGCAATCACTGCATACCACAGCCTTAAACTTTATTCAATCTAATAAACTTTTTCTTTAAATCTTAAAGAATATATTTTTTAACAATGTCTGATGCATCTTTTACACAATAAAATAAAAAATTATGTCGCGCACGGGTGGGTTCAAAAATCTATAGTCTTCGTTATATCGAATACGGGAACAGAACTTTACATAGATTTGGAATACCAGCACTAACCATTACCCTTATCCTAACACTGACCAATTCATGGATTTCGTATTCATACATTAATGCACTAAGCAAAATTGTTTTTTGGTTGGAGGTGCACTAGTAGCATTCAAAAAGTCTGTAGCTTCCTCAAAAGCCACCATCATTCCCATCAACATATGTGGCACAATATGGCAATGAGCAACCCAGACACCTGGATTATCTGCAATAAAACGAACCACTTTCCATCCACATCCTTGTGAAGGTACACCAGTCCCTGGACTGGGATAAATCAAGGTAGTATCTCTATATATCGGTATACTATTTTCTCTACGACGGCTACTTTTTTGTATAGTGAAAGAGGATGTATCGGAAAATGAAAATTCGCCTGGTCCTTGAGCAATTTCCCAGAACGAATGCCCGTGTAGATGCCAAGGATGATAATCGCAAGTACCTTCCGCTCCAAAAGTATTTTGAAATACGAGATCAATCGTTTCTTTATATCGTAGCGGATAAGTTCCAATAGAAACATTATGACCATTTGCTAGCAACTTGGAATAATCGGTGTAAACTGGTCGATTTCCAGAATACAAATCAAGAAGAATAGCAGATTGAGGATCCATAAAACTAACAGCGTTGACGGTCCATTGTCGCCCACCGTTCCTAAGTAAAACTTGTTGCGATCGAATTACTATTGTGCGATCAGATTTCGCGGGTAAAGGTGGAATTGACTGGTCGTAGTTGTCAAGTGTTATAAGTTGCGGGAGTGTATATTGTGCTGGGAGATTTAGAGTGTGGATCGTTTTGTTTTTGGGATTTTTGTAACTTAAGATGGCATTTGCTACTCGATTTACTTTATCAGTTCTTAAGAGAACATTTGCTGTGATTTGATAGTCGCTTGGTATTTGATCAGTTGTAATTAGAACTGAATAACGTTGTCCAGGAGCGATTTCTAGAAACTCAGTGTTCACTGGATTCACATAAGTTCCGTCAGCTTCAATTATCGTCATATTATGTCCCGCGATACCTTTATTTTAATTTATATTAGCATACACACTATTTAATAAAAATTTAAGCGTTACGAACATACCAAAAACCAAATCTTCAAGAGTAGTAGCGCCAACGATTCTCAAACGATATGTTTTATTCGACTCGACTATGATTTTATCCGGACCACATTCATTGTTTTCTGCAGTTCTTCCATTGATCAATAAATCAGCTGGCGGACCAACGAATTTAAATGGGCCTGCATAAAGACCGGCTTCTAATGCTTCATCAGTATCAGTATTATTCCAAAAGTCTGAGAGGACGATTATGCGCTCTTCGTGGTATTTGAATGGGTGTATCTTATCGTGGATAATGAGTGCACCGTGTCCAGTGATTGTGGTTAGACCAACATGCGAATGATAACTATTTCAACATATATGAATTAACAATCATATTCGACGTTGTACAAAGTATTAAGCATACTTACAAATAAGTTCCTACTTGATCAGGACACGCGACAAATTCATAAGTATACATTTTATTAGGTTCAGTCGGATATTGCGTGACAAACGGCACCCCATCCGCCATGGGCGTTCCACGCTGTCGTATTCCATGAAAATGAAAAGTGATATTATCTTTCTGCATATGATTGATCATATTTACACGAATAATTTCACCGACGTTCGCTTCGATTGGCGGAGGCGGATGTTTTCCGTTAATGTGAATTACATCGCGGCTTGGGTCACCGCATTTTTTTACAGGGCGATATGTTACCGTGAAATTATATTCGCGAATGTTTATTCCAGTTGCTAAAAATGGTAGAATCGTAGTAACGATCAAGTAGCAGAGTAATAAGTTTTTGTTTTTTGGTGACATTTTTTATTTGATCGATTACTTCGCTTTTCTCTTTTGATATTGTTGTATTTATAAATTCGGTAAAGGTGCGATAAATTAAACCCCCCGTCTACTTTAATCAATCGATTCATGATTCTGAACAATATAA